GATGAGAATTTATCGGAAACAAACGTATGTTCGCCAATTTATCTTCTGAAATAAGTGTTTCCCTCATTTTCTACGCCTGATGTTAGCCCTTCGCACTCGGTTGCTATGCTCTCCGCTCCCCCCTCATTCAACTTCATTCATATCAACCATCACACCCACTACCGACCTATGCCATGCTCGTGTATACGTGCATTATTCCTTGTAGCTTTTCCCTCTGTGGCAAAACTACGTTCGTCATGCTCATTGCCCGTGACGATGCGCTCGTTAGAATATGACGTTTTTTAGCTCGACGTTTACGATTCTTGCTTGGACCCACCATCAGCAATTGTCGCAAATAAGGGACGAACGTTCCCGACTACAATTCAATTTATTCTCTAAGAACGCGCGCTTTTTATTAGTGCGAATTCTATCTGTCATGCTCCCAAGTAACCTAGTTCATAAAATGACGTGAGATGCCCGATGAAACTGCAGTGCATAGACAGCCACCCCACACCCCTAAGGTTTCATAGGAGCAAATTAACAACTTTTCTTCAAAAGAAGGCTAAATCTGCTTCATAATTCTCTGTTTATAAGGGTGGTATATGAATATATACATCCCCCCTAACAAAGCATTGACGCTATACAACATCTCATGCGTGAATAGTGGTAAACTAGTTTTACGGGCGAAGCTTTAACAGTCTTATCGAAAGCCGATTGGTCAAAAGGCGCATGCAGCATTTTTTTAAGATTGCGTGGTGTCCTATCGACCACTTCTTACACTTCGAGGGGTTGAATTAGGAGTTACTTAACACATTTAAACAGGCAGTGAGCGTAAATTTGATTTTATTGATTGCTACCTAATTTTAAGTGTACCACTCATCTACTTAAAGGGTTTCACCCACAAAGTCCCTTTTACTACCATTAAAAGCGATCTTGCGCCGAAGTGTTAGAGACGGGAGGTGTATAAATTAATATTCGACCTTTGTTAGCTGAGGAAAAATTTTTCGATGAAAGCGAACTAGTGAGTTCCAGGAAGCAGTTCAGATGCGATGGCTGGAACAAAATGTTCATTAATCTGATGTTTTGGATTCTTGCTCGAACTCATAATCATCATCAGAGACAGCCGCAGTGATAGAAGTAAAGGGGACGCAGTGTTTACAGTCCGTAGCAACCACATGCGTACCTCGTGATTGATGGCTTGGCAGTCGGCGTCCGAGTCCTTGATGAAATTGCGGCAATTATCGACTCGAACGCCGCTCAAGTAAATTGCTTAATAGTGGCAGCTTACTTTTTGTAAGAACATACTTTTTAGAGGCAATTGAGCTGAGCCGATTTTAAGTATGGTACAGGAGGTTCAGTGTTATTGTCCGAACTGTCAAGTTACCGTTGAGTCATCGCACAAACTTTGATATAGAATATTTTTCCTAATCAATGTGTCTTTAAATTTCTAGTAGGTGTATCTTGGCAAGATGGACTGGTGCCTGTCTTCTGCCAATGTCTGCTGGTAAATGCAGAAATAATTTGAGTGGCATTGAAGTCGGGATAGGAAGTGAAACTGCTTTGTAGGTGGGTAGGCTGAGTTATCGCACAAACTTTGATATAGAATATTTTTCCTAATCAATGTGTCTTTAAATTTCTAGTAGGTGTATCTTGGCAAGCTCTATTTCAAGCCGCCACCGTTTTAAGACACTTCTTTCAATGGCGATTAGTGAGACAACTGGTGGGTGGTCGAATGATGTCAAGGGGCATAGAACAAGAGGAATAGATGGATGATTGAGTGGGAACAAGACCAATCGTCATGCATGGAGAGGT